CTTGGAGGCGGGCAGGTTGGGCCCCGCTTGGGTTGTAGTTTCTGCCTGACTTTAGGTATTTCCGCCCCAGCCTCCTCATCGCCCCACCTCCCACGTTAGATAGAGAGGCTCCGTGAGGATGAAGGAGAGCAGATTTTGCCAGAAGGAAGCAGGGAAGACAGATGCCTTGAGGCCCGCGGATGAAGCGGACCGGGATGGGAAGGCGATCATTGTGACCACATTTTTTTTTTTTTTTAGCAACAGAAGCAGAAAAAACAAACCCACAGGGAAAGCTGGCCTGCAGCACAGGAGACGAGATCGGGTTTCAGGATTGCATGCATGTGTATGCGTGTGTTTGTGTGTGTGTATGTGTGCGTGTGTGTGTGTGTGTGTGTGTGTGTGTGAGTATGTGCACACCTTGTCTTCAGCATGGAGAGGAAGAGCGAGGTATTTGGAAGAGGAATGTCAACGTCTGAATAGCTCCACCCCGATGCTGAACAGCCCAGTGATCCTGGTCAAGCTACCCCACTTCCCCGTGCCTCAGTTTCCCTGCCTCGGGCAGCTGCTGTGGGGACTGACGGAGCTGGGAACGGGGAGGCCCGTGTGCAGTCCCCAGGGCACAGGAAGTGCCACTTGGTGGTAACCGTCCCCATCCCTGCCCAGCCCACGTGAGGCTCCGGGTGCAGAGAGCCCGGCTGGGGACACAGGCCCGGGTGACAGGCGAGGTGGCAGAGGATCCCGACCGGACCTGCAGGCCCCAATCCTGGCTCTGAGACTGAGTGGCCGTGGGCATGTTTCTCTCAGTGCCTCGTTTCCTCGTTTGTAAAACGGGAAGAGTAGGGGCACCTGTTTCCCTGGGTGTTGGGAGGCCGTGGTTCTCGTAGCGTGGTCCCGGGGTGTCAGCACCGCCAGGACTTGGTAGGGATGCACACTCGTGGGCCCCACCCCGACCTGAGGAGCCAGAAGCCCCTGAGCTGAGAAACAGGCTCTGGGCATTCAGGTCGGGCCCGCTCCTGCTCAGGACCAGGGCTGGGGAAGGAAGCAGCCACTCGGTGTCGTCTGCTGTTTGTGCCCAGCATTGGCAGCTGCTGCTGGGTTTGGGGGCAGCTTTCACCTCTGCCTCAAAACCCCTCCCCCAGTGCTGCACTGGAGGGGCCTTCCACAATCCATCGGCCACGTCCAGAAAAGGCTCAGACTCCTGGAACTGGCTGCCCAGGGGCGGGAATGCAAAGGATTATGGTTAGGACTTGGTCTCTCTGGTCTCTTCCTTCCTGCCGGGACCCTGAAGAACACGGTCAATACCCCTCACCTTCAGAACCCAAACGGCGCTGGAGGCGGAGGCAGCCCTGTGTCTGGAAGCCCCAGCACCTGCTGCTCACCAGCCCGGGCCCACGCCGGTCTCCAGCCCACACGCCACACCCCGTCCTCACTGCATCTCGTCCCCAGAGCAGGACACGTGTTCATTCCCTCCCTCACTCATCATTCAACTACTTCCCTCGTGCCAGCCCTTTCCTAGCACACAGCAAAGACTGACAGGCCAGTGGGGGAGAGGGAAGCAAGCAGTGAGCCAATACATAAGTCACCTTGTGGTAGAAGCTCACTAAACTTTGAATGGATGAATGAATGAATGAAGCAGGCAGCGCGGGCATGGGTTTGGGGTCCAGACAGACCTGAACTCAGACCTTGACCTTGTCACTGTCCAGGCATGGAGGTTTAGGCCAACAGCCTCCGGGAGCCCGGTGTCTCCCTCTATAAACGGGGTGGAAGCCGTGTCCACCTCCAAGAGGCTGGGAGCTCCAAGGGGCAATGCCAGCCCGGTGCCCGCCCTCGGCCAGCGCTCCGTGACGGTGACGGTGACTGTGACTGTGATCGCTGTTCACGGTGACACAGCCGCGCCTGAGGGCCGAGCAGGGCCTCCTCCAGCGGTGTATTCCCGGGGGCACCGGGGGTCCCCAGAGCTGGAGGGGACCCCAGTGATTGGCTAGTGACCTGACTCCTGAGCTTAGTAAACGGGCACGGGAAGGTCGGGGGGATCCTGTGACGCCCCCAGTCCCACCTGGAGGGGAAAGCATCCTCCAGGCCCTTCCGCCTTCAGAGCGAGCATCCTCCAGGCCCTTCCGCCTTCAGGGCGGGCGGCCAAGCCAGGGCCTGGAATAGAACCTCCGGGGGCCGCCGTGGCTCTGCCCCCATCTCGCTGCCTGCTGGGCATCAGCGTGCCCGCCTCTCAGCACCTCCCGAAGAAGTATTGTGTTTGGGGGTGCAGTGGGGGTGGAGGCAGCTACATCTTTTCACCATAAAAGAGGGGCCCCACCAACTGGGGGTGGTCGGCTCTCACTGTCTATTTCCTCTCTTGCCCTCCCCTTCCCCATGTTCTGCCATGACCCCCAGGCCTTCACCGGTGGCCTTCACCAGCACTGTGCGGCACACAGACCTGGGTTTGAACCCACCGCCACCGGGGGCTCTGGAGCTGGTCTTTCTGTGTCTGCGCTCGTGTCCTCTGTCATCTCAAGGTCAAATGAGGTAACGTTTGCGCAGATCCCAGCACGGGGCTGGGCACACATCACACGCCCTGGTAACACTTCTCTGGGCAGACCCCACCCTGGGCAAGTCGATCACATCGCCTCTTTCTGAACATGCCCCGGCCTCCCTCCCTCAGTGCCTCTGCTGGCACCAGCGCCTTGACTGGGCCTCCCTCCCCGCCCTCCCAGCCTGCGGCATTCCCCCCACAGCCTCCAGACCTGCCCTCGTCTCCCTGTCCACAGAGCTGGCCTGCACCCACCCCACCCCCACCCCCACCCCCACCCCCGGCGCTCCCATTCGTTTGCTTACACAAAGCTGTGAGGAACAGGAGAGAAACAGCACCTGGGAGGTGTTTGCTGAGCACTTACTATGTGCTGGGCACTGCACTCAGCACTCCCACACCGTGTCCCGGGCGCCTCAGAGAGTCCCTGTGGGGTCTGTATCATCGTAGCTTAGAGGTGAGGACACGGGGACTCAGGGCTGCCGAGCTGTCGCCCAGAGGCACCGAGCCAGGAAACGGAGCCTCTGGGACTTGGGCCTGATTCCACTTTGCCTCCCCCACGTCCGGCACCGGGTGCCCCCGTAACGGCTGTTGGAAGAGTTTAGTAAGCTCTTTAAGATCGGAGGGGGTAAGGGGGTGAGGAGCGGGGGGAGGGAGGGAACCAAGGAAGCAGGCCGGGACCTGGCCTGGTTTTTCTTCACCATCTAGGTTGCTGGTGAGCAGCCAGCCGTGAGGACCCTGCCTAGGGCTCTGAGCCGAGGCGCATTGGCTGCCAGTAAAAATGGCAGCAGGTCGGAGGCCTGGGGTGGGTCATGGCGGGAATCCAGGTTCAGGTGTGGGTGTGTGTGTGGGGGGGCTATCTGATCAGTGGTTTGGCGAGGACGGGAGAGTGGGGGAGATGGGCCACTCACTGGAGTCACCCATGTCCCTCCAGCGCCCTTCACTCGCCTCCTCTCAGACCCCTCCCGCCTTCCCGGCCACACAAAAGGGCAGCTGTCACCACCAGGCCTGGCAGTCGCTGCGTCTGACCTTGCTAGAGGTTCTCTATTCTCGTTTCTGACATAAAACTTTCATGAACCATCCCCGCGATCAGCATCCCCGCACCTTCCCCAGAGCCGTTTCTGTCCACAGCCACTTAATGTCGCCATGTGCCCGAGCGGGTCTCAGGCTACAGCCATGCAAATGGAGCCTGCGTGTGGCCAAGGTCACGGCTGGTGGAGGGCACAGAGGAAGCATGGGGGGGGGCAGGGGGGCCATCACACTCAGGCGACAGATGTGTAGGAAGAGCCTGCTTTCGGTTGGGAATGGGCTGGACACCGAGGATAGAAGGGCGAATATCGTTCACAAACACCCGAGAGCACTCTCTGCGCCGGGCACCATGCTAAACGCTCCGCACAGGGACACTAACCCTCTCGGCAGGCTCTGGGAGGCGGACTGCCTCCAGGCTCCGCTTAGAGGGGGGAAACCGAGGCCCAGAATGGTGACCTGAATTGCCCAAACGCACGCCGCTGGGATATGAGGGAGCTGGGGTTGGACCCCAGACAGCCCTCGCCAGGAGGCCACGTACCCACACACGGTGTTCGCCCAGCCTGGCGGGAAGACGGCCTCTGGAGCAGGGGTCGCACAGCATGTGGGACAGACCTCATCAGACCTGGTCCCAGTCCCTGCCCTGCCCCTTAGGGCCTGGCTCCCTGATAGGCTAAGGCCCCTCCAGCTCAGTGTGCTCCCTCTGCCCAAGGAGGACCACTCCTGAGGATGCTGTGACGCCAAGAAAGAGAGGGATGCGGGACGTGCTCGGGGCCTGGGGTTGGATCTGAATGGAGAAGGGCATGCGATGCTGGACCACAGGCCCCTCAACCGTCCCGAAAGCAAAGATAGCCCATCTCCTCACGCCCAGCCAGGCCTCCGCGGCCGCTTTTCCTGGCCCTCTGACAGTGCTGGACAGGTCTGCGTGGGCGAGGCCCAGACGGGCTTGAGACCTGAAGTTACAGGACACCCAACAAGATGGAGAGGAGGATAGGAGAGCAGGAATTTCCATCCCGGGGAATCGGAGAACGTGAGAGCCGGCGGGGTCCTGGGGGATCAGTTGGCCTCATCTCCTCGGGTTACAGATCGGAGACGGGGCCCAGACAAGAAGAGAGCGTGCCCAAGGTCACACAGCCCGTGTGGACAGAGCCGGGACCAAACCCGGGACAGGTGCAGGCCGAGCTCGGGGAAAACCCCCAGTGCTTCCGAGTGCCCTTCCCATAAGGTGGGGAGGGGGGAGTGGGGGGGGGAGGAATCTGTTCCCCCAGGATGGTTCGAATCTTAGGAAACACACCAGCTTTTCTTTGCCTGCCTGTGTGACAGAGCCTCAGACCTAACAGCCTACCTCTCCCTTCTGATCCTGGAGTCCGGTGACCCCTCCTCCCTTGGCACGTGACAGACACAGCTCCGAGCTTTTAGCATCCAAACATCCCATGAGCCCCCTGTGCCCGGGCCCCAGGCCGTGGCTACTCACCGTCCACCCCAATCTTGCCATCCCCATCCTTGTCGCCTGCGGCCAGCAGCGTCTTGGTTTCTGTGGCAGACAGGTCTCTGGCGTCTGCAGAGAAGCCCTTCAGGATGGCTCTGGGGAGAAACGCCGGGGCAGGAGTCAGGTCAAGGTCACCTTGCAGGAACCCTGTGCGGAGGGTGGGCTGGCATCTGCGCAGGGGAAGGGGCAGCTCGGACAGGCAGCGAGCAGCGGGCATGCGTGGGGTTGTGCAGGGTTGGCGGCTGGGCTGTGGCTGTGCCCTCCCGGGTGGGTGTGTGGGAAGGACAGTCTGTCCTCAGTGACAGCTCCACCTCAGTCCAGGCAGGGCACCTGCCCGCGGCTACTCATTCGCCACTGCAACCAGCACAGAAGTAGCTTCTCTGTGCCCGGGCCGTGCTGCAAACTGGGCACGGAGAAGCCCTGGGAAACAGCCTGAAGGGATGAGGAGGGTCAAACATCCTGAGAGAGGGGCCCAGTGTGCTGGTGTGGTGGTGGGAAGCAGACAGGTGCTCAGAGGATGAAGGGAAGAGACTGGAGAAGGTGATGCCTGGAGGCAGGCAGAAGTCAGAATGTGTGTGTGTGTGTGTGTGTGTGTGTGTGTGCAGGCACATGTGTGCACATGCAAAGGGCCTAGGGGGACAGAGAAGGCTCTAGACGGAGGGTAACCTTGTGAATGGTTTGGGGTCAGACTGGATGGAGGAGGAAGTCCTCACTCGAAAGACTCCTCTCCGACCGCCCCCCTTCCTCTTTGACAAAATCCAAGGCAGCTGTGGCCAGAGGGACATTGGCACAGCGGGGTCGGCAGACCTGGGCCAGGTGGCCGAGGGGGCTACGGTGCCATTTTGCATTTTCATCTCCTCCTCCTCTTCCTCCAGTGCTTTGCTCCCTTGTCTCCTGACCCCCAAGCTGGTCCTGCCTCCCTGATGTCCCCAGGAACTGCTCTAACCACCCGGCCAGGAGGCTGGGGCGTGCGGGTGGAAGAGGTGCTTTTAGACAAAGGGAAATCGATGACACACTCGAGCCAGCCAGCGCTCTGTCTTGCCTATGGTGTTAGGGGGAGACAAGTGGCCTCCTGGATGGTGCTAAATTATTCAGTGGCGTCATCCCATTAGCGATGTTAGGCAGCTATCATTCAGGCTGGCTAGTCGCACTTTCTGCGGCGGAGGTGGTCCTGCCAGCAGCGGCAGTGGCCGCCGTGGTTACTCCTGTGCAGGGGCAGCCGGGAGAGTCCCAGCCCCGCTCCCGCCCCCGCGCCCGCCGGGCGGCCCGCAGCCTCCGTTACCCCAGCTCCTCCTCCTCGATGAAGCCGCTCTTGTCCTTGTCCAGGATCTCGAACACCTTCTTCACGTCGTCCGCGCTCTTCTTCTTCAGCCCCACCATCTGGAAGAACTTCCTGTGGTCGAAGGACTCGGCAGCTGGGGGGTGGAGAGGGCGGTTAGAAAGCCCACAGGCAGGGGCAGCAGGGAAGGGGGGAGGGGGTGTCCTAGAATTGGTCCACTGACTCCCTGTGCCCCTCCTGGGGAATAAAGGGGAGCCACCTCCATGGGGGGGGGGGCAGGCCAGGCCGGAGAGGGCGCTTTGCCCAAGGTCACAGGCAGAGGTGGGAAAGGTGAGCCTGCACCCAGACCGCCCTGGCTCTTAACTTCCTCCCCTACTCACCCCCCCCCCCAACACCACCACTGGGACCTAGGCTGATGGTGGAGCAGCCCCCGAAGGCAGAGGGGATCCAGGAAGCCTTTGGGTGGTGGCTGAGTGGAGGAACCGCAGGGATTCGAACCTGGTGCGTGCATTTTGGGGCGGGGGGGGGGGGAGGGTCAGTAGGGGGGAGCAGGCCAGTGGGGAGGGGGGAGAGGCAACCTTTTCTTGCCACAGATTGTGCTACCAGAAAACCAACACAGAGAGAAGTTTCTCTCAAGGTCACACCTGGGAGGAGGATGGGGAGGACCCAGACATTCTGGTTTTGCTGCCGAAATCCATTCCGGGGGGGCGTTGGGGGGATGTTAGAAGGCTCCCCAGGAATTCCCAGTTAGGTTTCTACTTAGAGGGAGCAAGGCGGCTCCAGAAGTGGCTCTGTCTCCATGCCCTGGAGGGTGGCTTCCCGGGGAGGGGTCCCCAAGCAGAGAGGAAACGGGGACCCCTTCCCAATGTTCCCTGTCCAGAGCTCCTTTTGAAGAACCCCTGGGAAAGGGCCCAGTGTTAAGTGGGGTCCCTTATGTACGTACGGGGGTGTGGGTGCTGCGAGGAATCATGTTCTCCCTGCACCCAGGACTGTCACTAGGGTGGGGGACCAAGACCCAGTCCCAACCCCACTGGTACCTGCCGGTGACCTTGGGGTTAGAACTGGTCTTGGTTTCTGACCCTCTGCCAGCCTCAGTTTCCCCATCTGGGCGACAGGAGGGCGCTGGAGCCCTGGGCCTCTCAGAACGCTTCCCTCCCAGGCAGCCGAGCAGCTGGAGTTGCAGCACTGAGGATGCTCAGCCCATGGGGCCAGGCAGAGCGGGGCGCCAGCTCCGGGAAGGTCACTCACTCTGGGCCCCTTGGGAAGGGCTCTGAGCCCTGGGGGCGGGGAGGGGGGGGTTGGACAGTAGTGGGACCAGCCCTGTCCCCCTCCCCCCGCTGGGCGGGAAGCCCTGTCTACAATGGGGGTAGGGTAAGGGGTGGGAGAGAAGGCACGCCTGCCCGCAGCCCCTCCTGAGCGCCTAAAGGGGGAGTCCCGAGCGCCCCCCAGGAGCCTGGCCACGACCTTGGTGCGGACTCCAGCGCTCCCAACACGGCCACCAGCCTTTGGCGGCCCCAAGCTCACGGCTTCCCCACCGACCCAAGTCCCGCTCGGACAGTTTGGGAAACGCTGACTCCCGCTCTCCGCGGGTCCCCCCCTCCCCCCATTCCCCCACCCCGCGCCCCCGACGGGATGCGTGGACAGAGGGCGCCGGGGCCAGGCGGGGGGTGAGGGGTGGGGGTAGAGGGTGAGGGGAGGGGGCAGGGGCGCTGCTCACCGGCAAAGGCCCCCAGGGCCTTCTTGATGTCCTCCGCGCTGAGCAAGTCTGTCATCGACATCCTGCAACTGTTTGGGCGGGCAGAGCAAGTGCGAACAGATTAAAAAGTGCTTTTCTCATCGTTTCTGCTCATATGACCGGCGCTGCAGTGCCGCACGCGGGCCGGCCTGGCGCGGGGCCAGGGGGCGCGGGCTGGGCGCAGCCAGAGCGCTCGGTCCGCCTGCGCGCTGGTCCCGCAGCCCCAGCGCCCGTCCCGCAGCCCCCGTCCCGCCCGCAGGGTCCTCGCCGCCCCGGGGCTGGGCCAGGGCGCTGGGGGCGGGGGGCCGAGAGGCGGGGACCTCTGGTCCTGACGGGTGGCCCGTGTCACCGGCCGGGGCTGGAGGGTCCGCCTGCCGTTAAGGGCACGCTGGGGGCGCCGCGGGGGGCAGTGCGGGGTGCACCTCGGAGGATGCCCGCTGCTTCCGGGAGGACAGGGACAGGCAGGGGCCAGACCAGCTCCCTCCAGGGGCCCGCGCGCGCTGCTGCCACTCTCCCTCCGCTCCTACCTCACCAGCCTCCGCTCTGGTCTGTCCTGGATGCAGTTTTTATGCTGCACAATCTGAGCGCCGAGGGCCGGAAACCCGACCCACAGGGCTGGGAGGGAGGGGTGGCACAGGTAGGCGGGCACTCCCGGGCGCTCTGCGGGCGCCCTGTCCCACATCTGGTCAGGGATGCGCATCCGGAAACCTCATTTCCCCGCCTCTAGTCTCACTTTTCAGAGAACCCTGCTCAGAGCTCCATAACCCCTCCCTTCTCTGGCCCCCTGAGCCCCGGAATAGGGCGGGCCGGACTCCTCCTGCCCCCACAGAACGGTTGGAGGAGGCAGGACAGGAGAGGCTACTTGGAATTTCGGTGTACTGTCCCCCACCCCCGTCCCCTCCGTCTTGGGGACCAAAAGGCCCAGGTTTGGGGAGAGCGGGGCACCTTCAGACCATACTTTCCGGACAGCAAAACGTAGCAGGTAGCTGGCCTGAGCCTCATCTCGGGGAAACGTGACACCTCCTATCTCGGGGCGGCAGAGACCAGTTGCATTCTTTCCCACGGCCACGGCCACGGATACAGCCTCCATGCTGAGGAGTCAGGCTGCATCCACTGCCTCTGGAGTGTGAAGAGCACTGAGCAGAGAGCCCAGAGGCCTGAGTTCTAGATCTGGGGCTGCGCTACGTCCCGGGGTGTCCTTGGGTGGTGACCGTCCCGACTCTGGGCTTCTGTCTCCCTCGGTGGATGGGGTTAGTGGTCCCTTGGGGAGGGGCCTTGGAACCCCACGTTGAGGTGTGTGGGCAGGCGGGCAGGGCTGAACCCTGTGGCCCGTGGTGGTGGTGGTGGTGGGGGGGGAGCGGGGAGAACCAGCCAGTTGCCCAGAGCTCAGGTTCCATGGCGCTCCCTGTCAACACTGTCTCCCTCCGCTGGCCCTGGACGGCTGCCCTCCTTGGAAACCTTAGGATGCTGCTGGCTCTGCCGCCCCCCTCCTGTGAGTCAGCTCCTTCGGGAACAGCCTGCCATCTGTTCAGCCTCCCGGCCTGGTCCCTCCCGTGGGAGGCCTTGTCCGGACCCTTAGCTGCCAACTGCGACCCCCACCCCAGCCGAGTTGTCAGCCTGGACCTGCTGGGCCTCAGTGCTCTCCTGTCAACCCCCAGGCCCAGATCTCTGCAGGGCCTCGGCTGCAGAAAAGGGTTCCCCAGCTGAAGGGTCCTTACGCTATCCTGGTAGGGAAACTGAGGCCACGGAGTCAGCCAATGGCCTGTAGACGTGCCAAGAGGCAGCGGCAGAGAGGGGCCCACCCGCAGGGCTGCTGACGTGGCCTCTATGGGGCTCCCTCCGAGCTCAGGACCCAACCCCATGGCGGAGGCCCCAGACGCTGACCCCTGGGGCACAGGCTCCACGGAGGCCCATTCTTCTCCTTCCTCCCTCTGTCTCTCCTGCGGCCAAGCCTCCGACAACGTGACGTGCTCCCTGGACTGACGTCCACCCACCACAGCATCAGATGCTGTCACCTCAGCCCAGCTCCCTCCCATGCCCCTTCCTCCTGCCTCTCTGCCCTCGGAGGGCATCACCGTCCGCAGATGTCTGGCTCCACCCCTCTCGTTTTACAAGTGGAAAACCTGGGGCCCAGCCAGCAGCAGAGTCTGTCCCAGGTGACCCCAGGAGTGAGGCTGGGGATCCCAGGAATTTGTGTTCTCGGGCCCAGGCTCCATCGCTGCTCCCTGCCACTCCTCGCTCCTCACCCCAGCCCCTTAGCCCAGCCTACTGCTCAGGCCTCCTCCCCCCGGCCTCCTCCATCCTCCTCCAGCCTCAGTAGCTGCCACTCACCTGGGTTGGGGGCAGAGAGCTGAATCTGCGCTGCAAGGCCGGGCTGGTGGGAGTCCGGTGGGGAAGTGAGCATGGTGGTGGGATAGCCTCCTATATAGGCTTCTGCTCTGGCTATTTTGGGAGGTGCTGCTCCCCCCGGCCCTTGGCCCCCTCCCCTGCTGGTGTCAGATACTTCTCAACTGCGGTGCTGGGTGTCTGTATCACATTCAGCCTCCCTGCGCCCATCAGGCCGGGCCTATTAATAACCTTGGCCCCTGCCTCCCTTCAGCACCCGGAGCTGAGGCTCAGGCCAGGCTCTCCTCCTCCATGAAGCCTTCCGTGACTACTTTCAATGGCGGCAACACTTCTGTCCTCCAGAATCCTGCAAGGGAAGGAGGAGGAAGGCGAGCGGAGGGATGGAACAGGAATTGTCTTCCAAGCATGGGCTGGCTGGGCCGGGCTCCTCCACACGCACCACCTCACTACGGCCTCGCCGTGCAGGCCTGGTCCCTCTTGCGGGGATGAGGAAACAGCGCAAGAATGTCAGAAGTTACAGGTCCATATGCAAAGCCGTGGGCCCAGCACAGGAGTGGCCCAGCACCTTCATGAGATGGGCTGGTGCCCTGATCTCCATGTTGTCTGACAGGTCCCTTCCTCTCTGCACCTCAGCCTCCCCCATCTGTGACATGAGCTCAGCCAGGGGCGGACTGTGCTCTATCGATGGGCTCTGGGGACTATGAACCCCCTGAAATGCCCAAAAAGCTGTGCACAAATGAAGCAAAGGCCCACAGTGTTCCTGAGATGCACAAGGGGCCGGTCTCTGGTGTGATCTGCCTTGGATGGAAGAGACCATCCAAGGGCTGTGTTTTCAAAAGCATGAATGAGTGAGTGAATGAATGAATGAATGAATGAATGAGACAAACATTTATTATCTAATGTGAACAGCACGAAAGACTCCTCTCCTCATCCCCAGCCTTAAAAAGAATCTCCGGGGCGCCAACACTGTCAACAGTGAAGTCCAGTTCTTGACGGCGACATGAGGAGGCCCAGCCTTTACACAAAGGCTGTTGGGGAGGGAAGATTCACCATCCTTCCCTGACCATCGGCCCCCGGGTGGGAAGAGTGGAGGGTGGGCACGATGGGGAGGCCCGCGCTGGAGCCTGGATGTCCTGGAGGTGTGGCCGACGGTGTGGGGAGGAGTGTAGAGAGAGGGTTGCATTTCTGAGCAGACTCTCCTGGACTTGGGGCTGTCATGAACTAAATGAACAAATCCGTGCTAACTCTGAGTTTGTAAGCGGGGTCCGTTGGACAATGGAGGGACTGCTTTGGAAGGCGGTAAGTCTGGGGAGGAGCTGGGGCCGAGCTCGGATATGACAGGCTGGAGTTGAGAATCCTGCAATGGTAGGGCCGGGAGAGCCTCGGCGGTGATCACATGATGGTGCAAAAACCAAGGCCAAGGTCATGGACCCAAATCATACCGAGAGGACTAGATAAGCCAGGATGCTGTGCTGGGTATGGATGTCTGGAAGACATGCTGGCCAAAACCAGTTTGGCTCAGTGGAGAAAGCGTCAGCCTGCAGACTGAAAGGTCCTGGGTTCGGTTCCGGTCAAGGGCATGTACCTTGGTTGCGGGCACATCCCCAGTGGGGGGGGTATGCAAGAGGCAGCTGATCGATGATTCTCTCTCATTGATGTGTCTAACTCTCTATCCCTCTCTCTTCCTCTCTGTGAAAAATCAATTAAAAAAAAAAAAAAAAGACATGCTGGTGGAGATGCCTGGGGGAGTCTGAACTCTGGCTAGCGATTGGGCCTGGACACAGAGCTTTGGGAGTCATCCGGGAAGTCAAGCAATTGAGGTCAAAGGCATGGCTGGGTTCAGAGAAGAGGGGCTAAAACAGTCACTCTTGTTTGTAGGGCAATGTGGCAGGTATGGTGGATGCTGCAATATACATTTGTCTTTGAACCTCCTTACAAGGTAGGCATCATCTTCTTCATTTTACCAAGGAGGGAACGAGGCTCAGAGAGGTTAGGCAACTTGCCTAAGGTCACAGAGCCTAGGTAGGACTTAAATCCAGGCCTCTCTGACCCCAAAGCCTGGCTGTTTCCTACTCTACAGTCTAGCTTCTTGATAAGACCAGCAGAAGGATTCTCTGGAACCAGGATGCCTTCCTTTCTGTCCCCGTGTGTCTCCTTAAGCAGATCTAGATGGGATGATCCATACTGTGGGGGTGCATTTGTTGAGGACCTACTGTGTACTTAGTGCTCTACTGAATTATTTCATTTTACCCTCGTTGTAGCCCTCAGAGGCTTGAGGAGATAGAGTCTCAGAGAGGTTTAGTGACTTGTCCAAGGACACACAGTGAGTAAGTGAGTGAGGCAGTTGAGATTTAAGCTCAAGGCTTCCCATTCTGAAGCATCTTCCCCCTTCTCCTCCTCCAGTGACACTTGAAGAGGACAGGGACATTCTGAAGCCTGAGTTGAATATCTTGAAGAATTATTCGGTTCCTCTTCTCTGAATCTATGCCAGTTCAAGCATCCATCACTTTATTAATCTGGTTTGACAAGAGACCTTTATGCCGGAGAATAGATTTATCAGGCAGGGCTTTTTTGACTGCAAGTGACAGAAAGCCCGACTTAGGCTGTTTTAATCCTGTGACTGTGTATGGTGACAGATGTTAAACAGATTTACTATGATAGTCATTTCACAATATATACAAACAGAACCATTACGTC